TATATTATAATCCATACAGAAACCACAAAAATATCTTACAAATAGGAATGACCAAAAAAAAGACAAAATGGCATTCTAAAAAATATTCATACAATCCAAAAGAAAAGAAAAAGAGGAATAGAAGAACAAAACCAGAAAGAACAAACAGAAAATAATAAAACAAATAATAAAATAAATAATAATATGTTTTAAAAACATCTCAACTATATGCTCTATGAGACATGAAGTTTAAAACCACAACTATAGGCATTGTTGAGCTTAATCTTAAGCAAATAGTTTTCAAAAGTCCCAAACAGTCTCATCTAATTTTCCCCAAAGTACTTCTTCCCCATCACTGTATTCATGGTCTATTCTTTAGCATTCACTACTCTACTCAAATTTACTCAGTCCCACAACTGTAGGCCAAGAAAATAAAAGCAGCTATCTAAAGGAAAACATAGTAAGCATTTCCCTTAAAGTCCATGAGGGATAAAGGCAAGAGATCTAAAGAAGTCCTCCCTGTTGTCTCTTTTCTGATGATTTTTGGAACAAGTTGCAAACATAATTATAACACCTAGGAGAGGGTGGCATATGCAAAAATAAATCAGTCAATTTTCTTTTTTTTTCAGTCAATTTTCAAATAATGTCTAATTCAAACATTATTAAGGATAATATTTTCTTTCACTTAAATTCACTTAGATTTTGAAAGAAATATAATTAATCATGAAATAATTAGAGGTAATCTCTGAAATTATAAAATAACAAAGTTCCATGTGGTCTCAATATACTCAACATCTTGCTTTGACATTGCTGAGTCCCTGCTTGGATGTTTAGAAGTACTAGATGTCCCAGTTAATCAAGCTTTATGACAAATTTCAGATTAAAAAATTTGGGGACTACCTATTTAGTTTTTCACAATGCAAAAATAACATTTTAATTTCCATTAAGTTTTCTTAGAAATAAAGCCAACATCATCACCTGTCGGTGCCCACTGGGACACCCCATCACCACACGAATTAAAACAACCGGGACATGGATTGAAGGTAAATGCCTGCAAGAGATGGGCTTCCCGCTTGCTAATGAGCTACCAATCTTATCTTATGAATGCCTGCAGTTGCTTGAGGGCTTGTCTCTGGACAGCAAAACATCTCCACGCTAGCTAGGAGATTGTCCCGATACCGGCACCTCCCTCAAGAACCGGTTGCCGCTTCTCTAAGTCTGGTGCTTGGTCTCCCACAATCACCAATCATAATCACAGAAGCTTTTAAGGCCTAAAAGTGAATCTTTATGATGTCAAGAGTGATAATATGCCAACAAAATACAGAATTCTTATAGATGAGGGTAATTGTTAACTTATTATCCATTGCTTAGTTGATGAAGCCACTTTCTTCACAAAACTCCCAATTCCTTCAAACTCCATCAGTTGGTAACTTGATACTGCCCAACATGTCATTATAGATACTTACAATAGTTGAACAAATAGAATCATAGTTGTATTTCATACTTTACATAGTGGTATTTCACAATTTCATCTATATCTACACACCTCTATATTATATACAAACTGATTATATATACATATATATATAGAGAGAGAGAGATTATATATAGAGAGATATTTACACAACACTCCTGACACTTACAAAACTATTTTCTCTTGAGAAGCTGGGCGGTTCACTCACGCCTCCCCTACAACAGTTACATGTCTAAGGCTTTCTGTTGGAAGATGGGAGATGAAAGCGGATGGATCATTCAAAAGTTTTTGGATTGCATTATTGTCAGGTTTTTGGCTTTCAGGTTTTTGGTTCCAGTGTCCAAAGGACACTAAATTAGGACTGGACCATTAATTTGGTTAAGAGTTGGGCTATTCACTTATTATAAGAAAATCAAGTGAGCAAAAATTGAAGACTTCAAATTTGGGCATATTGATTTTGAAGTACAAATACACCAGTCTGGAGTACAGATAAAATCATTACAATTGAAAGAAAATTAAAAAAAAAAAAAAAAAAAGAAAGAAAGAAAGCATTGAGGGTCATCAGAAGACAAATGATAACTGAAATTCTCCTGAATGTGATCATTCAGGCTGTGGATTAAGGGAAGAACGTCAAAGATAGGACCCTGGCACATCAGGGTGTGAGTGGAGAACAGGAAGCACAAAATGATGACAGGAAAGAAAGGAAGGGAGATGAAGAGAGGAGAGGGTTTGATACTGAAATCAAAAGGAAGGGAGAACCTCAGGTAAGTATTAAATGGAACAGAATAATATGTGCTTTTGCATCAGTTTTATCACTGCTAAGCAAGGTTGGTTATTTCACCTGTTGGCTTAAAAAGCCTTTGGTAATTTTCATCTTTTCATTTCAGGTATTTTCTTTTTTCTCTTCCCTGTCTTTTATTGTTTGTTCATTTGTTTATTTATTTATTTAGACAGAGTCTTGCCCTGTCGCCTAGGCTAGAGTGTCGTAGCATCAGCCTAGCTCACAGCATCCTTCTTCCTCAACCTCCCAAGTAGCTGGGACTATAGGCACCTGCCACTACACCTGGCTGATTTTTCTATTTTTAGTAGCAATGGGAGTCTCACATTGTTCAGGCTATCTCAAACTCCTGACCTCAAGTGATCCTCCCACCTTGGCCTCCCAGTGCTGGGATTATGGGTGTGAGTCACCACACCTGGCCTATTTCAGTTATTTTCAGGCTTATTTTAAAAAAACTATGTATCAGTTTCCTAGGGCTATAAAAACAAATTATCACAAATCCAGTGGCTTAAAACAACAGAAATTTATTCTCTCACAGTTCTGGAAGCCTTAAGTTTGAAATTAGGTGTTCTTAGGGTTGGTTCCCTGCTAGGGGCTCACAGGGAGACTGTTCCTTGTCACTCCCCTAGCTTCTGGTGGTAGTCAGTGATCCTTGACCTTCCTAGGCTTGAGACAGAGTCACTACAATCTGTCTCAGTAGTTGCAGGGCATTCTCACTCGGCAGCTGTGTCCAAATCTCCCTTCTTTTAATTGAAGTAGAGCAGACACTGGATTAATCCAGTGTGACCTCATCTCAACTGCAAAAACATTATTTCCAAATAAAGTGATAAGGTTTTAGGGGGATATAAATTTTTGGACCCCGTACACCCACCCTAAGAATATGGTCACAAATTGATACGTGCTACAGTAACTAGGCTTTAAGCAGGGACATCCAACCTTTTCCTTCTCTGCTGAAAATGCGAAGAGTAAGAGTTGTCTAGGGCTACATATTCAATACACAAACATTAACAAAAGGTGATAAGCAAAAATAAAAGGTTCAAGCATATTTTTTAGGATATCTGACATTACAGTAAGCAAAACAGGCCTCAAATTATGCAGCCTACAGGCTCCAGGTTGGACACCGCTGCAAAAATGTATACATTTAAGAAATTAGAATTAGGCAAAATAGGTGAGTTTTTATAAAGGCACAGCATTTTTGAATTGTAATAGGAGCCCAAAGTGAGACACTCTTTTCAGAAATTCTTCATACTGAGTATTTTTTCTTTGATGTGCTCGAAGATGGATCCCTCTTGACTATTTCTATAATGAAGAAATTAATGTTTTTTTCTTTTTTTTTTTTTTTCTACCAGTGAAATATAGTCAGAAAGCCTTTCCAGCCCTTGGGACCCAGCTTGACAGTTTCCATGGCCATGCATATGGCTAAACTAATGGACCCTTCAAAACTCTTTTAGTAATGAGAGGTGCAGCAAAGGACCATGTACTGTATTTATTTAGACAAAAAAGTGCCTTTTCTTCATTATCATCAAATATTTACTATGAGCCATGGTCTTCAAGGCATCATTAGTTATTTAAGTGTATTAAGACAGAAAACAAAATAAAACCAAAAAACCCACAACCTAGAACTTTTCCTGGGACGACATTAGGGAGGAGCAAGAACTGTGAACAAACATAAAACTACCCTTTTAAAATAATAAATAATTCTTACATTATTTCTGAGCCAGCCAGTCAATTCAAAGAAGTGATTCTAAGATATGATTTCCAACTAATACTTGTTGATGTCTCTCGGTTTCTCCCATCACTCCCTTCCATGTGTGACACCTTCCAGGGTCCCCAAACCCAAACCAACCAGGCTTAGCTGACCAGGAGCGAGGCCCCGGAGCTGCCCACTGTCCCGTCCCGGTCAGAGGTTCACGTTCACGCCAGGGGCAGTATAGAACTCTTTCCATTCCCCTCCAAAAGCCAATTCGGCTTCGATAGCCCATCATACAACTGTAAAGAGATGTCAAATAAACTCTTTCCAAGGCCCCAGCACAGTCAAGACTGGATTTTTTAAGTAAACCAAGTTGCAGCTTGAGCCTCTTCGTGAAAAACGGCCTGGGCACTGTGGCGACGGAGGAAACTTTTGTCACTTTGTCGGGCAGAGCGTTCCAACGGGACCCGCAGGGGAAGAGGGTGCCAGGGATTTGTTGAGACACATTTTCACGGCTTTGAACACCAAGTGGAAACATGGCCAGAAGTTTGGCAAAGGACTTTTGATTTTCTGCCGGGGAGCCCAGGGTAGGGATAATGAGTGGGAGGACACAGCCGCGGTCCCGGCGGTCCCTCCGGTGTGGCCGTGCGGGGTCCCCGCGGGGTTTCGGTTTCCACTTTTCCTTCCCAGGCCGCTCCCACTTCCTCTGCCCACCGGTCCCCGCCCCTCCGCCCAGTCCCGGTCCCGAGGGCCGCTGCTCCCACACCCACCCCGGGACCAGAGGAGGCGAATTCCTGTGGGTCCCGGGAGTGCCAAGAGTGCGCGGCAAGACGGGAAATTGCAAAAGCCCTCGGCCCGCTGCCCTCCCCCGGCCTTCCCGTAACTCCCGCCCCTCGGCGCTCGCCCCGCGGCTGATTCATAGCCCGGCCGGCCGCCTCTGCACGTCCACACGGCCGGCCGCCCCGCCGTCCGCGCCCGGCCCCCGAGGACTCGCCGGGCCGCGCGCCCCCCGCCCGCGGCCTGAGCCACGCGCCCCGCGCCCCGCGCGTCCCCCCGGCCGGGACTGTGCGCACGGGCGAGCGCGGCGCGGGGAGGAGCCGCCACTGCCAGCCTGGGACTCGCGTCTGCGCGACACGGCGCTCCGAGGGCTCCTCGCCCCGGCCCGCCCACCCACCGGTGGGTACCGCTCAGAGGTTAATTCCTTCCAGAGCGCCCTGCGCGCCGCCACGGCTCCTAGCCCGCTTCTAACTTCACCGTCCCGTCGCCTCTTTCTAAACTGGTGGGGAATGTTGTTGAATGAAACCCCTGTGTGACCTACTTTTGCCTCTCCCGGCGCTCAGTGTGGAGCTCATCGCGCGCTCAGCCTCTCCCCCTGCCTCCCTCAGCTCCCACCTGACAGACATTTCTGTGGGCGCCTGTGCCTCTCTCCACCCTGTCCGGTTTAGACCTGCAGGTGGGAGGAGCTCACGCACAGGTGGAGTGAGGAAATCCCGGTGACTCCGCGGTCAAGGGCACTTACCTTCTCCAGCCACAGGAATGGAAGTAGCCTCCTCCCCCAATACACACTATAGACGAGAAACTTAGGCATGGAGGGGTTCAGTGACTCATCCAAGGCCATATGGCTAGGTGAGCCGGCGCTGAGATCAGAGCCAGTCTCCCAGGCTGGAGGTTTTCATTGACAACGCGGAGTTTTTCCTGATACTCCTTAACCTGGCCTCTGTCCACCCACCCACGCATCCACCCGTCCATCCCGCAGGTGCGTGGCGGGAGGCACAGTGCTAGGCGCTGCCAAGAGGGGCTTGCTTGCTCACAGACCTACCTGGAAAATACTTCCTAACAAGCTGTTCTGCCCCAGAGAGGTAAATATGGGGGTCGGTAAGTATGTAGGCAGAGAAGACAGAATTGAATGTGGGACATTTAATTTAAAAAGGAACTCTCGTGTAGGAGAAGGAAATTTGGGTCTCATTGGCAAGTCTAAAACTAACTTTGAAACTTGGTCAAATTACTTACGTTCTCTCAGCCTCAGTTTCTTTTTTTGCAACCTCAAACTCTTGGGCTTAAGAGATTCTCTTGCCTCAGCCTCCCAAGTAGCTGGGACTACAGCCACCAGCCACAGTGCTGGGCTCTTTTGTTGTTGTAGTAGTTGTCATTGTTTGGCAGGCCCGCGCTGGGTTTGTATGTGGCCAGTGCCCTAACGACTGAGCTACTGGTGCCAAGCCTCAGCCTCAGTTTCTTTTCTCTTTTTTTTTTTTTTTTTTGAGACGGAGCCTCAAGCTATCCCCCTGGGTAGAGTGCCATGGCATCACGCTCACAGCAACCTCCAACTCCTGGGCTCAAGCGAGTCTCCTGCCTCAGCCTCCCAAGTAGCTGGGACTACAGGCGCCTGCCACAACGCCTGGCCATTTTTTGGTTGCAGCCATCACTGTTGTTTGGCGGGCCTGGGCTGGGGATTTGAACCCGCCACCTTAGGTGTATGTGGCTGGCGCCTTAGCCGCTTGAGCCACAGGCGCTGAGCCAGCCTCAGTTTCTTAACTAAAAAATAATGATGGTTCATACTACAGACTATTACTAAGCATTTCACATATGGTAGCTCATTTAGGCTTCACCAATGAGGCAGGTACTAATTTTGTCATTCTTATTTTAACACTGAGGCCCAGAGAGAGGTGTAACAGCTTGTCTGTGGTCGCACAGCTGGCAGGTAGCAGAAGAATCAGGCTCCAGCTTTGGGTCTGCTCTTAACCACTATGCCTCACCTCAAATTCTAGCACTGTTGGCAGTGGGCCTTGGTTGGGGGTGGAGTTTCATTCTTGTCCTGCTTTATCTCTATCCTGAGAAGGGTCCTCAAAGGTCAGAGTGGCCTCTCATAGCTCCCAGACTCAGCTGTGTCTGAGCATGGGTCCTGGGTATGTTCATAGCACTGAACTCCAGTCCCAGCTATCTGTGCAGAATCTTCAGGGAGCGCTCAGTTTGGCATCTCCCCTGGAAGTATCCAGTATTGTTAGAATGCGTCCAGTGGCATGAAGCTCACCACCTAACATTTTATTGTTGGACAGAGCTAAGTCTCAGCTGTCACCTGTCTTCTTGTAATTTATATCTGGACCCCCGTTCTGCCTCCTTTTGTCCCAGCAAATGTGTCTAAGCCTCTCCTACCAAAGGCAGCTTTGAGGTGGTCAGCAGGGACTCCAGCGCCACCCTGGGAAGCAGAACTCTTACACACTTGGCCTTCTTCCCTCTACCCTTTTCTATACCCTGAGCAGAACAGGAACACATACAGGGACGCAGGGGCTGTTCCCGGATCTCTACAGCTTTTGTAACCCCTCTGTCCTGAGAAAGGAACCAAGTCAGGAAGACCATTAGGTTTTGAAATACAGTGATACTGTATTTGACATGAGGAAAGAGTTTGTTTTCCTTGTGGAACTGGGCTGGGACGTTTGTTGGCTTACAGTAGAAGGAAAACTTCATGAATGTCGTCTCACTCACTTACAGGAACAGGGAGCCTTGGCCTTCCTTTCCCTGGGGGAGGATGTCCTTCGTGATTAGCAAAAAAAAAAAAAAGTGTGTTAAATGGGAAAAAGCAAAACAAAACAAAACAAATAAAATATCATGGCCTTGCTAGAGAATGGCTGTGTCCTCACGGCCTTCCTTCCCTTTTCATTTTAGGTCCACTGGTTCTTCAGTATTATTTGCTCCAGAGTGTATCTTATTTTTATGTTCTAAAAATAATACAAGTTACGGCTGGGTATGGCCATCCACACCTATAATCCTAGCACTTTAGGAGGCTGAGGCAGGAAGATTGCTTGAAGCCAGGAGTTAAGAAAAGCCCTGAGCAATGTAAAGACTCCCATCTCTACAAATAGAAAAAATTAGCTGGGCATGGTGGTTATGCACCTGTAGACCCAAGTACTTGGGAGGAATGCTTGAACCAGGAGTTTGAGGTTTGTGGTGAACTATGGTGACACCACTGCACTCTAGCTTAGGCAACAAAGTGAGACTCTAATCTCACATAATAACAATTGTAATAGAATTTATGACTGAATACATTCTCATTCAAACAATATTAAGTACATGGAATGAAATGTAGAAGTACCATCACCACCTTACTCTCATTCAGAAGAGAGGTTAAGTTTGGTAAATACTACTCTAAGATTTTTTTTTCTTTTCTACAGATTTGTATCAGATATATATATATATATATATGTGTGTGTGTGTGTTTTTAAATATGTGAATGAGATCTTACTAATTTCTGTGCGGCTTGCTTTTTCACTTTCTGGGACTTAGAGAGTTTTCCATACCTCTTTTGTTAATGGTTACATGTTATTCAAAGTAAAAAAAGAATATAATTTATCTTTCCTTTCCCTTACTGATGGACATTTAGGTTAAAGTTATTCAGCGTTAGCACATTGAACATCAGGGAAGATCATATATCAATTATTGTGCTCAAGTGTGAGTATTTCTGGGGAATAGAATCCTGGGAGACTGATAGTCTAAGGCAGTGGTTCTCAACCTTCCTAATGCTGTGGTGTATTTTCATTGTTAAAAAGGGGCCGAGACCCCCAGGTTGAGAACTGCTGGTCTAAGGGTTTGCCCGTTTTTCTATTTGATAGGTGAACCCTTCACATTGTACCACCCCATCTCCCAGGTGTATTATTGTAAACTCAGTGGGTGCAGGAGAATCTGTTTCCCCTTATCCTTCTTAAAACCAGCTGTTCTTTTCAACTTTCAAATCTGGTACATGAGTGAAACTCAATATAACATTTGAATTTGCATTTTGCTGATTACTACTATAATTAAATAGCTCTATATATTTAAGCATCATTTGTGTTCTGTGAATTACCTGTTCATTCCCTTTGCTCATTTTTCTATTGAGTTGGTTCATACCCTTCCCTCATTTTTCTGTTGAGTTGTAGAAGCTCTGTACCTACTCCAGATCTTAATCTTTTTCAGTTATAGATGATGCATTATTTTTCTTCTAGCATAATGCTTGTTTTTCCCAATTTTTTACTGTTACAAAATACAAAAAAAATTGCCATTTTAACTGTGTTTTAGTGCACAGCTCAGTGGTATTAAGTACATTCATACTGTGCTATTACCATCATCCATCTTCAGTGCTCTTTTCATTTGCAAAACTGAACATCTATGCCCATTAAATAATATCTTACCATTTCCCCCAGCCATTCTCCTTTCTTTTTGAAATTGACTACTCTGGATACCTCATATAATGGAATGATAGAGCATTTGTCTTTTTGTGACAGGCTTACCTCAGTGTAATATCCTCAAGATTTCATCCATGTTGTAATAAGGATCAGAATTTCCTTCATTTCTAAGGCTAAGTAATATTCTGTTGTATGTGTGTACCACGTTTTGCTTATCCTTTCATAATGCTTTTGCTTTTAGCTGTCCTTTTGCTGCACAGAAGTTTCAAACATTGTTGAATCAACTCAACAATCTCATGATTTCTCTACTTTGTCTAACTTGGGCAAGTCTTTTCTCCTTAAAGATATTTTTAAAATTATTTTCTTTTCTTTTAGTTTTTATATTTATCTCCTTAAAACTTCAGATTTTTAACAAGGTAAAAGGTAAAGATATAACTTAATTTTTTTCTAAAGTTGCAGGCAATTGACCCAATACAATCTGTTTAGTAGTTGCTCTTTTTTTTTCAATGCATTTGAAATTGGTTTTATTATAAAATAAATATCTGTTTATATAGGGTCTGTTTCATGACTATTCTGTTCATTGTTCTTTTTGTTTTACTCTTTTCTTATTCCAATATTGCTCTGAATTAAATACTATATACCTTTATGGTGTTTTTCTATCTAGTAGGGTATATTTGTATTTTTTTCAAAAACTATTACAAATGATTTTTTTTTTTTACACAATGACCCTTGGACATTTTTTTATGAGAGATTATGTACTCTTGGCTTTTTCTTTTTCTTTAACTTTATATTAAACTTTTATTCAAATTAATATGAGGGTATAATACTTAGGTTATATTGTTCTCACTTCTAGGGTAAAGTTCCAGTTGTAAAGAGCCCTTCACCCAGGGGGCATGTTTTACACCCTTACAGAGTACACACTTAGGTGAGATCCTGCCTCATGCCCTCCCTCCTTCTGCTGTAAATCCTCACCTCTCACCCCTCCTGCTTCCCTCTATCCCCAAACTGGACTATAGTTCTTAG